CTATACGGATTTCTCTAAATTGGGGAATTTGGTATAAATGCGCTCGTAGTCCTGTGTGTCCACACAGAATACGTACCATCATACTAACTTCAGTCTTGCTCATTTTGAGGAGATTTCTCGTCTTGTTCTCATCAGGGTCACTCCATAGAATCTTTGTGGTTCTACCCACCGTTTCATTATTTTAAGAGGCCTTATAGGATTCTCTCAGCCATATTTTCGATTCAGCTTTTGTTGCGTCGAATGGTTTTGCGTTTGTCAGGTTAACTACCTCGCGCTCACTTCCCTTTAGAGCTATTACATTAGCCCTTTTGTTGCCGACTACTCCGAGGTGGCCTGGTATCCATATGATGTAAACCTTACCTCAGTTAAAGCTTACTTACAATCTAATACGGTCTTAGATTTAATTCTATCACCTGATATCGCCCTAATTGCCTTCTGGCTGTCGGTAAATATATTAAGCGCTGTGGGCGCCATATTTATTCTAATCCAATTTACACTTTCCGTTATTGCTCGGACTTCTGCCTGGAAGCTTGTGTTATGATTAGGTAAACGGTGGTATATTTCTGTTTCAGGGTCTTCAATTTATCCCTCAATTAAGAGCCGTCCGTGTAACAACGGATTCCTACTGGTATTTGCTCTAGTTTTTCGCTTGACCAAGACATTTTATCTGGGATCAACGTTTCAAAGTTTCCGACATATTCTGTGTCCGACATGCGATCAGGCACGTCCGATGATTGTGTATAACATTCCAATGTGTTCAGTATATATTGATGACATGTCCTATAACCGTTTTTGGCCAGTACGCCTAAAGTAAAGAGCCATTCGGCTAAGACCCAATTTTATGCCTATAGTTCTCCTACATATCGCCCAGCACCGATGTGCCTTGTTGATCCTATCCTCTATGTGTACTACTAAAAAGTTACTTGTACTATTAAAGAGTTACTTGTACTACTAAAGAGTTACAATGAAACCTAAACTGGAAGTATAGTGAGCACTCTAGAAAAATCTACGATTGAATCTAAATAAGGACTTGAGGAAATGCTACGAGTCTAAAGTGTCACTATAGGAAGTGTTACAAGTAAGTCTTCGCTGGAACTATAGAAAGATTGTGTCTAAAATTATTACATGAAGAGCTGGAATCTAAACTAGGACTATACGAAGAATTCTAATTGAATTGCAACTAGATTTAGGTAAATAACTAGGTTGAATGAAATTAGCTGCAATTAAGCCTAAATAAAAACTTAACAATGAACTGCAATAGAGTTAAAACTGGTGCTAATTTATTCTAAACTGGAACTAAGTAAATATATTTGGTTATCAATTTTGACACGAACTGCAAACCCTTTCGATATGTACAATATAGAATGTACACTGTACATACTTTGTTCTACATTAGTGAACTCAATAAAACTATATAGTATGTATGTATGTACGTACTAGTCAGTTTATATATACATACATATGTACATTATATTGATGATATGTACACAAAATGTTCATATAACATGATTTAAATGAGCGGAAATTTGACATTAAGTGCCTGCAAGTACTTAAATACAAATACACTTACATACAAGTAAACATGAACAAAATTTCATAAATCTATATATGTATGTATCTATGAATGTGTGCTAAAAATAACAGGTAACAAATATTTGCAATGTAAATTTTAGTAACATTTTTGGCATTAACCTACAATATGACAGGGAGAGTGATAGATAAAAGATGAAAAGACATCATTTGCAATGTAACGAGAAGGTAAACAAAACTGAACTTAACTAACTAAAGTATACTTTATCTATATTATTGACTAAATAAACATGAAATATCAAATTGAAACCATCAATCTTTTTCATGAAGCCATGACAAAAGAAGACACTTAGAGCAGCGATGTGTTGGCTGTGAAGAGCGGGCAAAAGAGCAGTTACTGAAAATAAAGCACTAATTAAAACCAAACACCAAAATTTGGAAAAAATTCAGTTCACCTTTTTTTTGTTGGTTTTTAGTGTTTGTTTATATGCAATATATATGTATGTATACGTTTTTATGTGTTAACAATCAAAATCTTGTGTTCCACCAACTCCTTTGTTTCCCCAATTTCCTTCTTTTTCCTATTTTACCTTTTTCATTTATTTTTAGTCTAGTTATGCTGCTGATTTTTGTTTGACTCCTTGCTATAAGCTTTTCTATGTTTTGTCTTTTGTGCTCTTTTTTTTTCTAGAAGTATTAAATTTTTTCTTCGTTTTTCTACTGCTAACGCGAGTAATCAGAAATTTTTAATCAAAACGTTTCTTTTGCATGTATTCTCGAGTTTGTTGAAATTACATTTTACCTGGGTTTTTACTTATTGGTTCTAGCACATAATAATTCACAGACTGTTAACAATAGTTGATCAAAAAATCTAGTATTTTTTAGCAAATATTTTCCATGGAAAAAAATAATGTTGGTTTTGTAATAGAAATTCTTGTTCTACAGTTAGTGCTAGAACGAATGTTAACAGACATGGGGCTACCTAAGAAAATTATATTGAACTATAACATAGGAGTGTCTATAGTCCATAGCCAAGTCCATAAATTAGTGAGTAGATAAGTCTATAGACTAATCAATAGACTAATCCATAGACAAGTGAATAGACTAGTCCACAGACTAGACCTCGTACTAATATATGAAGTACTCAATAGACTAGTCCATAGAATAGTTGATAGACTAGTCCATAGAATAGTTGATAGACTAATCAAGAGAATAGTAGATAGATTAATCAATAGAATAGTCGATAGGCTAATTAATAGAATAGTCGATAAACTAGTCTATGAAGTAGTCCAAGAACTAGTGAGTAAACTAATCCATAAAGTAGTCCAATTACTAGTCCATACACTAATCAATAGACTAGAATAGTCTAGATAGAATAGTCGATATACTAGTATATAGACTAGTCAAACGTTTAGTACTTAGACTAGTCAAGAGTCTAGTCCATAGAATAGTCCGTAGAATTGTCGATAGACTAGACAATAACCTAGTCCATGGACTTGACAATAGGCTAGTCCATAGACTAAGTTTTTAGAATAGTCGATAGACTAGTCCATACTAGTCCATAGGATAACCCTTACATTAGTCTACCTAACATTAGTTAGTTAGAATTGTTGATATGCTAGTCAATAGATTAGTCTATAGATTAGTCTAAAGACTAGTTAATAGACTACTCCATAGACTAGACAATAGACTCGTCAATAGACTAGTCAATAGACTAGTCAATAGACTAGTCAATAGACTAGTCAATAGACTAGTCAATAGACTAGTCAATAGACTAGTCAATAGACTAGTCAATAGACTAGTCAATAGACTAGTCAATAGACTAGTCAACAGACTAGTCAATAGACTAGTCAATAGACTAGTCAATAGACTAGTCCATAGACTAATCAATAGACTAGTCAATAGACTAGTCAATAGACTAGTCCATAGACTAATCAATAGATTTGTCCATAGACTAGTCTATAGACTAGTCCATAGACTAGACAACAGACTGGTCAATAGACTAGTCAATAGACTACTCCATAGACTAGACAATATACTATTCAATAGACTAGTCCATAGACTAATCAATAGACTAGTCAATAGACTAGTCAATAGACTGGTCAATAGACTAGTCAGTAGACTAGTCAATAGACTAGTCAATAGACTAGTCAATAGACTAGTCAATAGACTAGTTAATAGACTAGTCAATAGACTAGTCAATATACTAGTCAATAGACTGCTCCATAGACTAGACAATAGACTAGTCAATAAACTAGTCGATAGACTAATCAATAGATTAGTCCATAGACTAGTTCATAGAACAGTCGATAGTCAATAGGTTAGTCCGTAGACTAGTCCAACGACTAGTCAGTAGACTAGTTCATTGAATTATCCACAAACTGACCAGTAGTCAAAAATCCGAACAATTTATAGATACGGACATCCGGATATCCGTAAATGCGGAATTAGTGATTTTGGGCCTTACATAAGAGCTATGACCAATTGTGGACTTATGTGCGTTAAAGTAATTATCGAAAGTGAACCAAATCCGGGGAGAAAGTTTCATGAAAAATTCACCTCTATTCGGGCTCCTTTACGGGCCTATTGAGAAAAAAATTTAAAAAATATTATTCCGATATCTATATTTATCAATGAAATGTTCAATTTTCAGAAATGGATCTTATATAGGATCTATGACAAATTGTGAACCGATGCGATTTCTGTTAATATTATATAGTTCTTAATGATAAATGGATTTTATTTATTAAGTGTTACCTGCTCTGATCCGTTAGATTTTTCAACATAATTTTTAATATTTGAAATGTTTTGCCATGTTTTTGCTTGCATTGTTTCTAATGTATGAATGTTATGTTTTTTTTTTACAAAAAAAAAGGTAATGAAAAAAATCAATGAACAAAGTGTTTTGCCTTGGAATATGCCAACACCAAAAGGGAAAGGTAAATTAAACAGGAAAAGTTAAAAATAAAATAAATTTTCAACGAATTTCAAACACACTACAAGCTTAAGTAATACAAAAATAAATCAAAACCACAATTGATAGAAGAATATCAAGTTAAACTTTTAAATGAAAAAAATGAAATACTTTATTTAATAAAAAAGAGACTAGAATTCCTTCTGTTTATTGATTTCTTCAAAGTGTAGAAAATTTGAAGCGGAAATTTCAAACATTCGTCCTTTTTCCCCTATTTTTAAAACCTCTTCACAGAAAAAAAATCAACTTTCTTAACAAAAGAAACTACTACCGTGATGTTTGTACTAATGCTAAAAAACAGGTTCGTGTATTAACTACTAGTTCAAGTATAAAACAGGGTTGCGTCATAAGTTTAAAGGGTTTCAAAATTGCAAGAAAATAAAACATCCCTTAAACAGAATTTTTACAGAGAATTATTTTTCTAAAAATCTTCTAATAATTCTTATTTAGTTTACATTTCTTAAGGTATGTAATAATTACTGAATATTGATTCTACATACTCTGGCTTCTCTTCAGTTGTCGAATAAATCTTCCGCCTTTTACTAAAGATTTCCGTGGAGGGGAGCAACTCAAATGAGTCTAAAATGAAAAATTTTTGAAGATCCTTTCTATGAAAGGATCATAAATAATAAATTATGACAAAATTTAATAAAAAACTAACTAAGAAGTTAGTTAGTAAATTTAACGCCTACTTAGAGGCAAAGGTCAATAAGGAGCCTCAAGTAATTTATGTCTTTTATTTCACACACAACTTACGTTTATTAGAAAACAGTACAATTCCTATAGCAACTTGCATACACCAATATTACTACACAAGTCTTATTATTGCGTTTCATCTGTATTTGTTTTAGCAGGTTTTTTGTTATCCTCACAAACATACATACATACATTTTAATTTTCTATGCAATTCGCAGCTTTGGCATGATGATAAATGAAAAGTAGTATTCAAGTGTAAAAAGAGCAAAGATTAATTTGCACCTGAGGCAAAAATAAAAAGTCAAAAACTTTATATATGTATTTTCATGTAATTTTTCAAGCATTACAAAATCAGTGCTTGATCACCTTAGTATAGCAGGAGGCGATTGAATGGATGTAAAAAAGAAAAATAATAATTAAACTCTACTAGTTATTTTTGAATATAAACATAAACCGACAGGTTTAAATTCACTTAATAGAGAATTGGTTTTTAAAACTCATATCATAATCTCTTGATTCCTATAATAAAATAATAAACTGAACTAGAACTGAACTAGAACTGACTGAACTAGAACTGAACTAGAACTGAACTAGAACTGAACTAGAACTGAACTAGAACTGAACTAGAACTGAACTAGAACTGAACTAGAACTGAACTAGAACTGAACTAGAACTGAACTAGAACTGAACTAGAACTGAACTAGAACTGAACTAGAACTGAACTAGAACTGAACTAGAACTGAACTAGAACGAACTAGAACTGAACTAGAACTGAACTAGAACTGAACTAGAACTGAACTAGAACTGAACTAGAACTGAACTAGAACTGAACTAGAAACTGAACTAGAACTGAACTAGAACTGAACTAGAACTGAAACTAGAACTGAACTAGAACTGAACTAGAACTGAACTAGAACTGAACTAGAACTGAACTAGAACTGAACTAAACTGAACTAGAACTGAACTAGAACTGAACTAGAACTGAACTAGAACTGAACTAGAACTGAACTAGAACTGAACTAGAACTGAACTAGAACTGAACTAGAACTGAACTAGAACTGAACTAGAACTGAACTAGAACTGAACTAGAACTGAACTAGAACTGAACTAGAACTGAACTAGAACTGAACTAGAACTGAACTAGAACTGAACTAGAACTGAACTAGAACTGAACTAGAACTGAACTAGAACTGAACTAGAACTGAACTAGAACTGAACTAGAACTGAACTAGAACTGAACTAGAACTGAACTAGAACTGAACTAGAACTGACTAGAACTGAACTAGAACTGAACTAGAACTGAACTAGAACTGAACTAGAACTGAACTAGAACTGAACTAGAACTGAACTAGAACTGAACTAGAACTGAACTAGAACTGAACTAGAACTGAACTAGAACTGAACTAGAACTGAACTAGAACTGAACTAGAACTGAACTAGAACTGAACTAGAACTGAACTAGAACCGAACTAGAACTGAACTAGAACTGAACTAGAACTGAACTAGAACTGAACTAGAACTGAACTAGAACTGAACTAGAACTGAACTAGAACTGAACTAGAACTGAACTAGAATAACTAGATGAACTAGAACTGAACTAGAACTGAACTAGAACTGAACTAGAACTGAACTGAACTAGAACTGAACTAGAACTGAACTAGAACTGAACTAGAACTGAACTAGAACTGAACTAGAACTGAACTAGAACTGAACTAGAACTGAACTAGAACTGAACTAGAACTGAACTAGAACTGAACTAGAACTGAACTAGAACTGAACTAGACTGAACTAGAACTGAACTAGAACTGAACTAGAACTGAACTAGAACTGAACTAGAACTGAACTAGAACTGAACTAGAACTGAACTAGAACTGAACTAGAACTGAACTAGAACTGAACTAGAACTGAACTAGAACTGAACTAGAACTGAACTAGAACTGAACTAGAACTGAACTAGAACTGAACTAGAACTGAACTAGAACTGAACTAGAACTGAACTAGAACTGAACTAGAACTGAACTAGAACTGAACTAGAACTGAACTAGAACTGAACTAGAACTGAACTAGAACTGAACTAGAACTGAACTAGAACTGAACTAGAACTGAACTAGAACTGAACTAGAACTGAACTAGAACTGAACTAGAACTGAACTAGAACTGAACTAGAACTGAACTAGAACTGAACTAGAACTGAACTAGAAACTGAACTAGAACTGAACTAGAACTAGAACTGACTAGAACTGAGCTAGAACTAGAACTGAACTGGAACTGAACTAGAACTGAACTAGAACTGAACTAGAACTGAACTAGAACTGAACTAGAACTGAACTAGAACTGAACTAGAACTGAACTAGAACTGAACTAGAACTGAACTAGAACTGAACTAGAACTGAACTAGAACTGAACTAGAACTGAACTAGAACTGAACTAGAACTGAACTAGAACTGAACTAGAACTGAACTAGAGCTGAACTAGAACTGAACTAGAACTGAACTAGAAATAGAAAGAACTAGAAATGAACTAGAACTGAACTAGAACTGAACTAGAACTGAACTAGAACTGAACTAGAACTGAACTAGAACTGAACTAGAACTGAACTAGAACTGAACTAGAACTGAACTAGAACTGAACTAGAACTGAACTAGAACTGAACTAGAACTGAACTAGAACTGAACTAGAACTGAACTAGAACTGAACTAGAACTGAACTAGAACTGAACTAGAACTGAACTAGAACTGAACTAGAACTGAACTAGAACTGAACTAGAACTGAACTAGAACTGAACTAGAACTGAACTAGAACTGAACTAGAACTGAACTAGAACTGAACTAGAACTGAACTAGAACTGAACTAGAACTGAACTAGAACTGAAGTAGAACTGAACTAGAACTGAACTAGAACTGAACTAGAACTGAACTAGAACTGAACTAAAACTGAACTAGAACTGAACTAGAACTGAACTAGAACTGAACTAGAACTGAACTAGAACTGAACTAGAACTGAACTAGAACTGAACTAGAACTGAACTAGAACTGAACTAGAACTGAACTAGAACTGAAACTGCACTAGAACTGAACTAGAAACTGACCTCGAACTGAACTAGAACTGAAACTAGAACTGAACTAGAACTGAAATAGAACTGAAACTAGAACTGAACTAGAACTGAATAGAACTGAACTAGAACTGAACTAGAACTGAACTAGAACTGAACTAGAACTGAACTAGGAACTGAACTAGAAACTGAACTAGAACTAGAACTGAACTAGACACGAACTAGAACTGAACTAAAATGAACTAGAAGAACTAGAACTGAACTAGAATGAACTAGAACTGAACTAGACTGAACTTAGAAAATGGAACTAGAAACTGAAATAGAACTGAACGAGAACTGAACTGAGTGGAACTAGAACTGAACTAGAACTGAACTAGAACTGAACTAGAACTGAACTAGAAGAACAGAACTGAATAGAACTGAAACAAGAACTGAAAGTATTCATGTTGTAGGAATTTTCTATTATTGTTTAACTTTCCCTTCTATTTTTAAACACATTAATCTTATTTAAAATCTAATACATTTTCATGAGTGAAATCCCTGCAAATCTCAAAAAAAAATCTTCTATAACATATTTTATGTGACTTCACACATACACATTCTAAATTTATAAATATTAGTTTATACATACATAAGTATTTCTATACTATTTTATATTTCTTTAGAGCTTAAATCATCTCTATACAATACAAAATATTTTATTATTACTACTGCTGCTATGTACATATTATAATCCCAAAACAATAAGTCCCATATGTCTTTTTAATACTATTGGTCAATTATCTCGGCAATAAAATAAGTTACGACGAACAGAATACACAAAAGCAGCAGCATGTTTTGATACCAACCACATTTTATTGGTTTTTATTAAGTCTATAAAAAATTTGTTACAGAATGTGTGAGTATGTGTTCGTATATGTCAACATTTTCGAAATGGTTTGCATTATATCCCTGCAGTTTGTGGTGAATGCACCGTAGTACTATATCATATGTTTGACTTTCCTGGGGACTACAATACCTATGGTTAAAGTTGTAAACGGAGAAAATCATATTTCAAGATACTACTCTCTGTATTCTAAAACTACTACTTTCTATCTGAATCAATCTCCAGTGGTTACTTTCTCTCAAAATTGCTTAGGGACTCTAAAGACTTGGTAGAGAAATTCTATATGAAAGGAATACACGGCTTCCTCATAAAAATTCCGGAATATATGAATGTGTTTCTGTACAAACGAATAAAAATTGCTAAACAAACAATATTTCATTATAATAAGACTACTTGATTGTGGTAATCGTAAATTGTATGAAACATAAATAAAACAAGTTAGAATGCTATATTCGGCTATGCCGAATCTTAAATACCCTCCACCAGCAAGCTACTTTTTATTGAAACCCATTTAAGTATCTAATTTTTAGTTAACTTGGCAAAATTTTTGTTTCCTTATTAAGGGTACTAACATATATGCATATGTCAAACTAATTTTAATTAGGTCTAGAAAAATGTATTTTAATAGGCCAGTTTGAAAACATTTTAATATAATGGTTTATCTTTACACAGAACATACTCATTTTGAATTTTATCCGGATATAATCATTTAATTACGAATTAAGTGGTATTAAGTGAATTTCAGAAGTATATCTTATACGGAGCTAAGACAACCTATGGACCGATCCGGAAAAAAATCCGTGGAATGATTTTTATATACAAAATACACATTTATGTCGAATTTTATCCCGATAACTTTGATTGTTAATGTGCATTTGAGTAATTTTCGGAAATGGTCCTTATATGGGAGTGGTGACCAATTATCAACCGATAAGGAGAAAATTTCGAATAATGATTTATAAGCCAAAAAAAATTCAAGTCTAATTT